AGATATATAAATACAAGATAAGTCAACTTCTCTACTTCTATTTCATAACTGTAACACCTAATCAAAAAAATCGATCAAAAATCTATTTAAAAATCTATTAAAAATCTATTTAAAAATGTCTATCGATATAATTCATGTTTTTTTCTTTTTGATTTTTATCGCACCATATGTAATCATGATATTTATGCACATCTCGTATAAGCAACAAACCGCAGATCCAGCTACAAAAAACATTGAAAAAGCTATTTTAGCACTCAATAATGAAATCAGTAAAATGCGCACTGAATCGGAATGGAAAAGTGAAACCCAGACTCTAGGTAAATTTATTGCAAAGCAGGCCCGAAGGGGCGACCCTAAAGGGTCATGGCACTTACGTGCCTGATAACCTATCTTATGATGCAAGTGAGCTCACTCATTCCAGAATTTACACTAACGAGTCTAACATTACAGGTCGCGCCTCTATTACAAGCCATAGATCGGAATATCCAGATGAAACTGAAGCTACCTGGGTTGAATTTACCTACCTCTTCGATGAAAGAAGAAAAAGAGAAGGGCGTTCCCCCGCTACAATGTACAATGTCTTATCTGAAGAAATTAGACTTAGTCCTGCAACGTTATCTGGATTTTATCGCCACCAAAAAAAACCGCATGTTACAACATTAGATAAAATCGAAGCTTGGGTCAATAAAGAAGGAAAAAAGAAAGACAAGTCTGTTAGTAGTAGTGGTAGTAGCGGTAGAAACAAAAATAATCTTATAATTACTAGTACTGAATAATCGCGAGCCCAAAGTACAGGGATGCACATTATATGGCCTTGGAGTCGTGCATTATATGCGCTTTCGCATCCCTCCCATGCAAGCTTGCGTTTATTTCTATTTTTCTATTTTTCTATATCAAATATCATTAAAAATCATTATTATTATATATCAAATATTACAATAAAAAATCATGATATCTATTTGCTATTTTTTAAAAAAATCTATGTATTTCTTGTTCGATTAAATGTAATTATCTATACCGATATTTGTGTCTTTGAGGAATATTCTCTTGGTTAATCCATAATCAAAATTCCCTGACCGTAACTTCTTTGTGAAAATTAGAAGGAAGCTCATACATATATTTTACGGGATATTTGAATTTGATTATGTGATCGATTATGCAGGCGGAGTATCAGTACTGGTATGTCGTACGACATTAATTGGAGCTGTGCAACAAAAAATGTTCTGGTAATTTCGACGTAAAAATTTGCATGTCATCAATATTAATATGCACTATTACTATGACACTTCCTTGATCGATCATCTATCTAAATGATCCATCAGCTTATTATTTGAATTTTTTGATTTCAAAAATGCTTCGTTCCTTAAGGAACGGATCAAACGTTGTTAAACAATAATCAGAAAAGGAATTATTACTACAATTAGCACGAAGTCTCTACGGAAAAAGCAAATCGCCGTAACCCCTGGTTCGTTATGGGGAAATAAACAATTAGAATATTTCAGAATAGAGATAAATGAAGTAAAAGATTTCGAAATTTTTTTTCAAGAAAGTCCTCCAAAGATTGAAAGTTTACCTGAAGAAATAAAAGAGGCATTATCTATAGATCTATCTAAGTTAGACATTTTATATAATATAGATTGGGGAAAGATAAGACATAAACAGGTTTCCAGAGTCGTAAAATCTTTACTGGCAGTAACAAAGACTCATAGAATCGTTGAAAATCAGGAAATTAATTTAGCATAACTTGCATAAATCTTACAACGCTGACGTAATATTGAGTAAATCTTACAGTGCCGATGTAAGTTTTACACTTTTTTATTATTAAACTTACGATTGACATGTGCAAATTTTTTTTATATTTTCCGGATGAAACCACAGTAGGTGGTCTTGCAAAAGAACTACTTGAGCTTTTTAATTACGATGAAGGAGATCTGCGGATACAATGTCGCGAAGAAATGAAACTAGAAATGTGTGGTTCAACAACAAGCGCAAAACCTGATGTCTGCATCGAAACATCTCATCTCATGATAAAACTATTAATTAAGGAAGACAAGAACTACCAAGTTTTCAATATAAATACCGTTGCTGAACCACAAATCATAGGTGAAGCAATAGGTGCGTTTCAGGAAAATAGCAAATTTGGACAACCTTTAGAATCGCAGTTGTTGCCTTGTATAACCATGCTCGGAACCTGTTCTACGTTATATTTAATTGGAGTAACTAAGGAACTAGCGGAATGTGTAAGAATTGGAGACCACCCTAAGAAAAAGACTATTGTTAAAAGATATGCTATTTCGGCACAGATCATTCCAATGGGAGATGCGATGCTGTTACAAAATAATAGGCATCATATATTCCAATATTATGAAGCGTTTAGAAAGTTCGTGGTAAGAAAACATGTAGAAATATACTTTTTTAAACAAGTGATATAATAATATTTCGTATTACAATTACGCATAAAAAAAATTTTTTTTTTCATTTTACAAAATGTAAAAAAATTAATCTATAATTCAAATAATAACTTCTCATGATAATTCATCCCAGGACATATATTTTTATATAATTCGGATTGCTGCTTGTATCGAATGTTTTTACTTACGTCAAGCGTGCTAAGGGCTTTTATTTTAGTCAAATTGTCAAGATAACTCTGGTGAGAAACTGCTGTTAGTCAATACTTTAGTTCGTCGTACATCATTATTCGAAATTCCATCCATTACCAAGATTCATTCGAATATCCACAATAATAATTCTTTTTGGATATTTGATTATTCAAAAAGGGGATTAATGAACTCCAAATAAACCTCGAGGATTATCTTTGTGATTTTTTGATAATTTTTGTTCTAAAAATTTTATATCAATAGTTTGTAGTTTAGGTTCTCATAAATAAATGACTAAAACTTTATATTCTTGTCACGTCTAAAAGGTTTGTTATTAAAAATAAACCGATTCCGATAAAATTTTCACGATTTTTTTTGAAAAATTTTAGGTCTAAGAATAGGTGATTGCAATAGGATTAGCGGCTTAATATTATTGTTATTACAAAATAAAACTTTCTTTCGGTTTAAAGTAAAATTTTCTATGAGCTTTTCTTGGAAACTCACCAAACTTCGCGTTGCATGTTATATTGTTATATCGTTCACAATTTTCATCGTTTCTTGATTTTTTAAAATTCAGTTCTTGCTCAGAATTGATCCTTCTGTGCTTTTCTCTTGTTCGTTTCTCTTTTCTCTTATACTCATAAAAGACGAACTATCGGCCGATACCCTTTATTCCCATTTCTTGATCACCAGATCCCAACATTAATTTATCATTTTTTAAATCCCTTTCATTCTTTCAAGTTTTATTCGATTATTCGTCTTCTTTTTTTACTATTACGGGTCTTTTGACGTTCTTCCAGTTATCCGAAAGAATTGTTTTGTTGGTGGTTGGCGGCTCATCATTTGGTGGGTTTTTGTAATATTTTCATAATCCCGAGGACATTTCCTTCAAAATCATAATAATAAAATTGAATAATTTTTCAGATTAATAAAAGGTTGCATATAATGAAAGTGTTCACGACTCATCATGTCGGTTAATTTAATAAAAATGTTTAGACGGTGAAATTTTGGCGTATTTTGTGTAAAATTTTTGTTTATAACAGTGATTATCTTGTAACCATTCTGATGAAAACAGAGTTATTTCTTTAGAAAACCTTAATAAATTTGGGAGAAGAAAAGGAATCAATTATAGAAGTGGAATTATGAATTTTTATTTTTGTTTAAAATTTTTTTTTTTTTTTTAAAACAAATAATTTAAAAATATAAAAACAATTTTCTATCAAATTATATAATTAATTTTTAAATCTAAAGCTTTTTTTTTTTAAAAGGACTAGCATCAAAGAATTTATTATCAGTAGTGTCCCACATATTGCTTTCAACAAAGCTTATTAATTTTTCTTTTGACTCTGTAGTATTATTTAATAAATGTTGAAAACCAGGTGATAAAATTTCTTTGTTTGACGCTAATCCTTCCTCTACCGCTTCCATAATTACAGCTGCTGCAACCTCAGCTGATACACGTCTGATACGTTTTAAATCGGGATAAAGAAGTCGTCCTTCTGCTTTCTCCTTAGGTGATACCGAGTTTGCTAATGCTGATGCTGCAGCATATATTTGTTTGTCGGTGATTTTTTTTGCTTGTGCAAGGATGGCACCTAATCCTAATCCGGGACTAAATAGAGTGTTTATATTTAAGTAAATGAATGAATATATGCATGTAAAATATAACATGATTTGATTTTATAATAAATAGGATAAAATTACTTACAATATGTACATATTATTTCCTTGACCTGGATAATGTACTTTTTTAGTTTCAGGTTCAACGTATTGTGGAAAAGCTGTACCTGAAGCAAATATTACAGTATTATTTGTATGTCTCATAGCCTAAAATACAAAAAATAATTATAATTATTAGTTGAGGAATCTGTTGAATATTTCTTCTTCTTCTTCTTCAAAAAAAAAAACATCATACTTCTTCATATGTACATTCAGCATTATTAGAAGGGTTAGATAGTGGAAATATGATTGGTTGTTTGTTGAGTTCAGCCATTCTTTTTAATATTTTCTCGTTGAATACACCATGTGTAGATGATAAACCTATCAAACAAGTTGGTTTAACGTATTCGATCACTTCCTCAAGTGTTTTGTATTGTCGACCATTGTTATCTGATCTCGCAAAATAAACTTTATGTTGCGCCAATTTGTCACCACGATCTGACGTTACTAGCCCCTATTATATTAGTAAAATAGATATTAACATTTTCATTAATTAATAATGTTTAACCAATTAAATTTTTCCATACATATTTTAATTATTGATTTATACTACCTTAGTGTCAACCAACCAAACCAATTTTTTAGCATTTTCTTCACTCATATTATGTTCAATCATGAAAAACTCAAGTAATTGTTTTGCAACACCAACACCCGCAGACCCAGCACCAAAAAATACCAAACGATGTTCTTTTGGATCAATATCTTTTGTTAATTTGACGGCATTTATGAAACCCGATAAAATCACACCGCCGGTTCCTTGGATATCATCATTAAAACAAAATGTGTTTTCACGATATTTTTCTAATAAACCAAATGCCTACAATAAATAACAAGAAAAATGCTTATTATTATTATTATTATCATTATTACTACTACTATTATTATGGATTAATGACACCTAATATATTTATATTCTGTAATATGTGAGAGATATACTAACATGTTCTGAAGAGAAGTCTTCGAATTGAATTAAAAGTTTTGGATATACTTCAATCAAAGATTTGACAACAGCATCCATAAAAGAATAAAACTATTTGATTTGTTTTTTTTTAAAAAAAAATATTATTGATATTATTATTTAGCAAATTATTAAAGCTAACAATCAATATATACATAATCACTCGCTCACAAAATAACAAATATATATATATATACCTCGGTGTCAGATACTCTTTTTTGTTTAAGCCCAAGGTAAAATTCATCGTTTAAAAACTTTTCATTATTTGTACCAAGATCAACAGTGATAGGCAAAGTACGACGAGGATCAATTCCAGCAGCAGCAACATATAATTGCAACTTTCCAACCGGAATACCCATGCCATTTACACCTAAATCACCCAAACCCAAAATTCTAGAACCATCAGTGATGACAGTAATTTGTGGAGTTAATGATTTGTCAAATTGATATGGTTGAAAATTTTTTATGATTTCTGTTAAATTGGATTTGTCTTTGAGTGAAAGGAAAAGACCGTCTGGTACACCAGGTGGTGCAAGGAATGGGTAAATATTTGAGTATTCTAAACATGCGGTTCCAACAGTTGGAGTATATACTAACGGTGTGATTTCCTAGATGGTTTTGGTTTTAGAAGAAAAATTTTTTAAAAAATTTATAATTAATACAAAATAAAGTATAATCAAGAGATCTCCAACACCTTTCTATATATGTCTAATTATATTATTACCTCTAATTCTTCCATCAAGATACGGTAAAATAATCTAACATTAGTGTTTCTTAACCAAGCAAGGAACGTGTATTTTTCCAATTCAGTTGATTTAGACCGCAATTGAATCAATGCACGTTTCTTCTGTTGTTCAATTGATTCAACGCCATATGGACTAAGACCAGTAATCTTCAAAGAATTACGTGTTTGATGAGATGTGGAAGTTCCTTTATTAATTTGGAAATAGATAAAGATTTAATTTAGCATTTATTTTTGGAGAAAGGGTATAATGTTGGATGTAAGTTGAAAAATAATTCGAGATGTATGGAAGAAGGAATTTAATTATAAAAATTATTATTAAAAATATACACAATTTTAAAATTTATTTACCTTGATTAAGATAAGGAGATTTAGAGATACATTGAACGATTTTACTATTACTATTACCATTTACACTTGGGCCACGCATTTTTCAAAATGGTTAATATTATTTTAAATTTATTATAATTTTTGAAAACAATCTTTTTCAAAGATGATGATTACACAAAATCGGTTCAATTGGAGTATTACTATTGCTATTGCTATTGTTTAACAGGATCAGAGTTGGTATTTGTTGTTATAGTATTTATATTATTGATTTTTGAGAAATGAAGTTTTTTGTAAAGAAAGAAAGAAAATTTTTCGCTTATATAATGATGAAATTTGTTGTGAAACCATGGTGATTTTTTACTTTATCAAGTTCCTCTTTACTAAAATTGTTAATTCAATTAATTATTTTGTTTGATATGTACGAAATTAATTATGAAACGCTAAAGTGTATAGTAGTAGTGGAAAAAGAAAATTAATCGTGTTTATAAACATATCCTGATTTGATGATATAATTATGATGATTGAATAAAAATATAGTTAAAGAGACTAACTAATTTACTAATTAAAAAAAATATTGTATTAGTATTATAAATATTAGTAGTTCCGGTATTTTCCGGTTTTTTCCTGATTATTATTATTTACTATTATAAAAATGCAAGATTCATCTTTGATCAAGCGACTTGGCATTCTGTGTGAAATGTTTTACCCACAAAACCTTTTGACTCACCAAACAAATCAAACTGGTATATGGTATTAGCATAACAAATGTGTCACAAATACAAATTTTTAAGTAAATAAAAACATTATTATCTATCGTGGAAACTTTCTTTTTGGTCTGTGTAATTAACTGTTGTAGTAACATTTGTAATTATGATCTTCGTCATAATCTGAAGAATGTGACTATATACTTGTATAATAAGAAATAAATAATTTGAATTTTATAAATTCACAAAGTTCATAGTTATAGAATTATAGAGTCGTTATTTCGATACAAATACAGATTCGCCATTTTCTCTTGTTCTTCATCGTCATTGCACCAAACTTTTACCTACTCGACATTATCAATTTCTTGTTCTTGCTCTTGGTGGCTATCACCATTGTTATTATTATCATAATTGAAAATTATCTAGATGTGACATGTCTGTGAAGATACCATCAAACAAACTCGACTCTATTCCCTATGTTCCATTTATGACTAAACCTTTGGGTGAAGCTCCTTCTTTATGTACAATGTCAGCATATATTTATTCACTTACACCCCGAGATTCATAAATTGCTAATAATAAATGCTAAACTAATTAATAGGTGAAAATGAAATTATCACTCCCCTTTCCTATTGTATTATTGTATACAGCCGAGTCTTTCCTTTTAGAGGTACAAATCTCGTCGCAAATTGTTATCCATCTTAGATCAATCAGGAAAATTAGTATATATATGTGTAATTTATTGACAAAACAGGGAATTTGCGTTTAAAATGTGTATCATGTGGTTATAATACGTATAAAACCCCGTTTCTTTACTTCTGAAACTTGGCAAATTCTATATTAAATGTCATCGTGAGCCTGGAGAACTAATTTATGCATTTTCAAACGTTTGTATTAGATATATCAAATTGCGAATTTTTTATCTATATAGATTTTGGACGAAAAGATGCTGAATATATAAAAGTTTCTATAACAGGTACTTCGAAATGCAACTTTTTAATATATCATATCCTAAAGCTTTATGAGGTCAGGTTAGCCTTTTTGATTTTATAAAGGATAGTTGGAAATTGTATATTCAAGTTCGAAAGACTGCCGTTTCTTCAATTTAAAAGATATGTAAATATTTGATTTATAATCATTTATTAATAAATATTCCATCAACCTTTTGGATTGTTTCTACACACTTACTTTTATCACTATTATTGTTTAATATATGTATGTACGTGTCACATAACATGATGGATTCATTCGTCTGGGAATCTTACAAATAATTTTTGAAACCTCGATTTTTACTATTTGAATCATTTGGATATTAATATATATTACAAATATAACCCTGGATTTTGTCCATGTAGTGGTATGCATAGTAATAGTAATATCCAGTAGATAGCCACTCTTTTAAATACAAACCCCCTATTCCTTTTTGGAGGACTAAATGATGACAATATGTTAACCATGAAATGACGTGGAAAAGTTATTGTAGCTACTAAAATAACAAGTATTTTGTGCTGCATACTATTACTAGCTCACTGATTACTATTAATAGTATTTGTGTTTGTTTATTTTTTTCTCAAGCAAGCAAAAAAAAAAGATACAATTGGAACCAAAGTTTTAAGTCATAAAAAAAAATAGTTCTTTGGGTTTATGGTTAAATATTGATCCATGTGGCAGAAATAAGTTGATCACTTGACCCAATCAGGTGATTTTTTGATGCAATTAATTGAGTTAACAAAGAGGATGATGATGTAGAAGTTATTGTTTCACCCATAATTAGTTGGGTGGTTGCTGATAATAACGAAGTACAAGCAAGAGTTTCAACCTTTTATTTACGTTAATGAAAGTTGGCCGTTTGGCGCAGCAACAAGAGCCTCAAGACTGCACGCGCACCATAATAATAATAATGACATTATTAAATATTCTAATAAGAATAACAACACTTTTTAAGTGGACTGATCATCAAACAAAAATAGTTTCAAAAAAACTAGCTGCAATTACTTACTTTATCCATTGGGTTACAACCATTTTTATACATCATCAAAAGTTTCAGCTGATCTCCTTAACCTTATTATATCATTACCCTTCCGAAATTCCAAAAAAAATTTACAATGTACGTGAAATTTAATTTTTTATGATCTGAAATAACAAGTTTTTCATTTGAGCATTTTATTGCTAGTCATTCGTTTGACCTTCTATACATCCTATACAATGAGAAATGCACCAACACTAACCAACGCTTAAACCCTTTGATTCAAGCTCAATTTCCTGTCTTGTGTTCAGCAAGGACACTTTAGCCCCCCACATAAATCTTCAAGTTAATGGTTTTAGTTTATCGTTGAATTCTACAAGCGCGTATATATATATATATATATATAATTGAGATTCTATAAAAATATTAATATGTGGGGATGTAATTAATATGGAATATATTATGATACATTTACTATAGTATTGCGAAAAGGTAAATCGGCCGACTTGGTTAAATTATTTTTAAAATAAAATTGCTGATATTGTGGATTTTGTTGAGGATTCTGGAATTATAATCAATTGACCGATACTTACGTCAAGTTGGGAATTTTCCAGAACGATTTTACCAACAACCGACATAATTGTATTTGGTTCGATCTTATGCTGATTATCGGCAAAAGTAAACGTTTTGTAGCGATATTTGACGAATTAGTTGTCATCATATCTATCTGTGACATAGACTGCTTTGATAAAGAAAAACAGATGTCGTTGTTATTATTATTATAAATTTTTTTGTGAAAAAAAAAAATTATAAATCAATTTATTTTACGTCGAGAAAAAAACTCGAGACTTGTTCGCTTAAAATGAAGAAAAGGCCCAAAAAGTCGCTTTTTTTTTTATTACTTGCAAAAAAAAATATATTATGCTTTTTAGTAGCAGGAAATAATACTTTTTATATTTACATTTTTATTTTCAAAGAATGCTTGGTTGAATTAATTCCGAATTGTTAGCGGTGGGAAATTATTATGGTTTGTTTTAGTAGCAGGAAAGAACTTCTTTACGTTAAGCTTGGTTGATGGATCAACTCCAAATTGTTTAGTGGTGAGAAAGCATTTCTGAAAAAGGCTTGATTTAAATGATTTTTTTTTATTATAATTATAAATACAATCTTTAAACGTTTAAAAAATTTGGAGAATACTAATAATCATGATCAGGATAAGGATAATAATAAAGGAGGATAATGAATAAATAATAAATAATAATAATAATAAAGGATAATAATAAGGATAATTAATACAAATAAATAAGAATAATAATAAAGGATAATAATAAGGATAATTAATACAAATAAATAATAAATAATAAGGATAATAAACAAGGATAAATAATGAGAAAACGAAAATGATCAATGATCAAAAGGTTTATATAGAACACAACCAATTTTGTGAACCATTTTCTTTCGAAAATTTTCAGAGAAATGGATAATATCATCGTTAAACATTGAAATACGTACGTTGCACTGATTTAATTGAGTTGTATTCTTTTGCTAATAATTATTTTTTTAAATTTTTAATCTAATTCAATAAAGTTTGCATTTGGATCAGCATCTGTTCATTATTATGATTTAATTTGTTTTCGATTTCATTGAGATTGGTTTCTGGTTTGGGCATATTTGCCAATTGTCTAAGTTCTCCAGAGATAAATGGAAGAAGTTCAGGATCTTCTTGACTATTATCAATTTCTCTAATTTTTCTTCGAATATCTTCAATTGGTGCGTTATAAGATCTATCAAATTATCAAGTTAAATTAATTAAAACTATTCACGATTATTTATTGAAAAAACAAAAAAAAAAGCATAATTACAATATATCAGGAAACCATTCTCTCCAACGACGTTGATTGGGAAGCAAGTAAAATAATTCAATCTCTTTTATGATTTTTGCCTTTTGAGCCAAAAATGCTTCATTTATGTTATAATTTTCAATTTGATTGATGATAAGACCAAGGAATAAATTCATCAAATATATTACAACAATAAATGAAAATAAAACGAATAATATTGCCAGATATGGATCATCTTGTAATTGCCAAGATCTAAATGCTCCTATATCACCTATTAATTATATTGTAAAGTATAATCAATATTTAGTGAACATATTAAAAATGTTATTTTGAAATCATATTAACATAGAACCTTACCTGCAAGGAAATAATACATTGCCAATATTGAGGTAGGAAAATATGCAAACATATTGGTATTTCCATCAGGTTGTTGAACAATAAATGAATTTTGATTGTATGAATTGTCACTTGCAAAATATGTAAAATATTTAGAAGCAAGATTCCAAGGATTATTGGGATCATTATTACTGAAATCAGGGACGTCTAGTGTATAATCCATCTGAATCGGTTTCAATAAAATGTAAAATGCATGTGAAAAGCTTAAAATGATTATAAATATTAATACTAGAAATGAGGAAACTTTTCTAGCAACTCCTAAAATGATTGCAAAATATCCTCCAAAGTATGTAAATGCTCTTAAAAACAGCATAAATTTCAGATCTAATAAAAAATTGGACAATGAAATTAACTCAGTAGCTGGTGAACCATTATAATATAACCATAGAATTGAAGTAGCAGTGGGTATGAAGTATGCTCCAAAGTCTATTAAATAAATAATAATCATTATTAATTATCAAATTTAATTAATTAGCTGATAATAATTAATAATAATATCATACCAAAATAATTCCAAGGGTCAGTGATGTATTTCATTGGGCTCCAAATAAATTGTCTCGCTTCAAAATTAAGATGAAACAACCCAAGGATGATTGTAGTAATTAATAATGAATGTCTATTTTCATCAGATAATTGGTCAGGTGAAGTAGAGGTTGTAATTACAAAAATTAATAAAAATGTCATATAAATGACCCAAATCCCCAAATAATAATTGAATCCAAAATTATTCCACTTGGAATCCAAGATTGCTTTTCCACTCCAATATTTATATAAGTCTAAAGTATCTAATTCAGTAAATTTGCTATTTGCTGGCTTATAAAGCAATTCTTTCCAAAATGAATATTTATTATTGTAAGTAAGTAATCCAGGATAAGGAATTACTAATTGTACACAAGGTTTTTCAGATTTGTTATTTCTAACATCCATAACCCTTTTATAGAATTTGTTAATATAATTATATTTATAATAAAAATCCAAAAAGCCTTTCTCTTTATAAACCAATTCTTCAAGATCTATAGTGTTATAAAAAGGTTTCATGTTGTAAAAATTTCTCACAAATGGAAATAATATCATTGAGGTTTGGCTAAAGAATTTTGATATTAAAGTATAATGATTTTTTTCTAGTCTTGGTAATTCTAATATGATTATTTTTAATAAACTAATATTTAAATCAGTATCTTTTGTAAAATGACTAAGACAAGAATCAAATACTTTTTCTACTGCAATACTATTTTTATTATCTAATGCTATCTTTAACATTTCCTTTCCGAATTTATTGAAATAATAAAACTCATTATCGATCATTTCTAACATTTCTTTATGAGGTTGTCTAGAAATTTGATGTTTATCAATATATGAATAATCAATTTCAGCAAAGCAATTTTTGAAATCAAATAAATAATCATCAATCATATTATTCTCAATAGCTGATTTAATATCCTTCATGTTCTCAACAAGTTTAATGGACTTTGTAAATATTTTGGAATTTTTGTTGCTAACTGATAAAATGTGTATTGAATAATTTGTGAATAAAATTAAATCGTCATTGTTTAATAATTTACAATAACTAAATATGTGATCGTTTTTAAGGCCATACTCATCAATTGTTGATGATTCTTCTTCTATTCCATCATTAATTTTTTGTGCTTTTATATTGATATTTTTAAATTTATTGTCATATTCTATTGACCATTTAATTAACTTTCCAGTTTCCATGGTAAATTCTTCTTGTCCTTCATGATGCTCAGATGGTTCAGACATTTCTTGTAATGTTTGTGCTATATGTGAACAATAATTGTTCTTTAAATGTAATTTTTGTTGAATATTATCTAATATTTTTTTGTTAATTATTTCATTGATGTATAATTGATTGCCTATAACCATGGTTATTTTACCATGTGGTAAAATAGGTCCAAATAAAATATCTTTTCCATTTGCATTTTTTAAAAAATGCTTGTTAAAATACTCTGTGATATCAATAAAATCATCAAGATTATAAGGATCCATTACTTTATAATTATAACTTTTTGTGTTTTGATGATAATATATTACCAATAAATATTCTAATTGATCTGTTGAATAAATAAAACCATATTTTTTCATATCAATATTATTTTCCAATTGGGCTACAAAATAGAAAATGTATTTATTAAATTTATAAATTAATATAACATGCAAATAATATAAATATTTAAATAAATACTTGCTTGCAGAAATAATAATATTATTTTTTAATGAATATACAACTAATGTTGAATAATCCTCATAGTATAGTGCCATTATTGTTTTGTCTTTATTAAATTTAATATCAGCAATTGATTTTTGATATACTAAATAATAATTATCTTGATATGATATTGTTACACCCTTCCATTGCGATAGAAATAAATCCTGTGAGCCAACTAGAAAATTTCCAGAATTTACAAAAACTTTTATACCATTGTTATCTTCACTATTATAATAATACGTTGATTTATGAACCAATTTATCATTTGCATCATTGTCATTGTCACTCACATATGAAAAATTGTATAACTGGCAGGTATTATCATTACAATACTTAATAATTAACAAATCGTTATTTGTAATAAAATATCCATTGCTAAAACTTTCATTAATTATAAAATCACTGTATTTTTTTTTTGTAAAGTTAAGAAATTCTAAAAAGTTAATTTAAAATATTTTATATTTAGTCATTTTATATTTAATTATTATTATAATAATAAAATATATAAATCAATCAATCAATAATTGCTTACTATAATGACTATGGTATCCATCTCCATTACACAAAATTATATATTTGTAATCAGAAATATCTTTTATAAAAACATCCAAAGATTTATGCTCACTAAAATCATCTTTGGAATAATTAAAGCAATCATCTTGCTGGATAGTTCCTTTGTCAAGATCAACTGTCCATCCAACAATAGATGAATCTTTCCTACTATGAGTTACAAAAAACTTTAAATTAGAACTATATTTTATTTCATCAATATGATATCCATTATGTGGATCAATTATATTTTGTTGCTCAATCATATTATTAGTATCTGTTGTTGTAGAATTACTATATCCATCTTCATTAATTGTTATTTCAACACTATTATCACTTGTGTTAAAGTTGTTTTTTGCCATTTTTATTCGTAGTAAATTTTTCAATGTGTGTATGAAAAAATTTGTAAAAGATATTTGAAGAAAAAATAATTTTCATTAAAAAGAGATTTGTATGCTTATATTAATTTTTTAAATCGTCTGTTCTACAGTTATATCATAATGGCGTACATCTACTTGTCGTAAGTAATAGTAATCTTCGTTTGTTCTATGATTGATAAGAGCACCTTTATACAGTAACTTGTTAACAAACATATATAATATATATTGAAATTAGATAATCGAATTTTCAAAATATAGGGTTTTATTAACGAATTTGTACATATTGTTGATATTATTGGGACTGTCTGTGTGAATGAAAAAATTTAATAGATTGTTGGGAAAAAAATGTCCGTTATAACGTCGATCATTACTATTACATGTTAAAGTCACGTACGACTTGCTTTCTTTGCTCAAAGCAGTTAAAGATTCCCTAATCGAATTAATTCAAGAAATTTAATTTTAATCGAGAATGTTATTTCATTATTTGTTATTTAATTATTAAGTTTTAAATAACCATTTGAATAATCGTAAGTTTTATATGAATAATAATATTATCATTATATGGAATGGTTTCCAGATGCAATCTGGTCGTTGTACAGTATACAAACTTTGATTAATATTATATTATGTTATAAAGAGAGGTTTCAAGTAATAAAAATATGACAAAAATTTAGTTCGTTATAGAGTAAAATATGGTATGGAAAGATTCGTTACTATTTTCACTGGTTTCGTTTGCATCAAGTCATTAGTTGAAACAACAATAACTTTCATGATCGAAGTTGATGAATATACGAAGAGGTGATTTTAAGAAATTTTTTGTAGGGTGGCTAAGAAGGTGGCTGTGAATATATGTATGTATTTAATAGCATCAAAACTACTCGAGGTTTGCTTTAATTTTTTTATAATATTAAATTTCATCCATTTTCTTTTAGTTAACACTAATACAATCGACCGAGGTTTTTTTGTTAATAATAATGATGACAATGATGATAATAAAGACAACAATAATAATAATAATAATAATAATAATAAAACGACGGCGGCAACGGCGGTAATGACAACGATGACGTAAACAATGACGACGATAATAATAGCAGCAGCAACTGCATTGGGGTAATAGTAATGTTAATGATAACAATGGTAGTACTGGCGACCACATATTTTGTGAAAAGAAATTTTATTTTTCCGCTATTCCTTATCTTTGAGCAAGGAACATTCCTTGTGTAATGCGTAACATAGTAATAGGTACAAAAAAAGATAACGAATTCCTAAAATGTAAATCATTTAAAAAAATTATAAAAAAAATTTTTAAAATTATAAAAAAAAAATATTGTTGTAGTAAAAAACCTTTTATACATAAATCATCATGTCCAACAACAATCCTCCTGGTAATAATAATAAAAGTGAACTGCCACTAATGCCAAAACCAATTGCGATGCCAACATTCTTCTAATAATTATCCTAATAACCAAAATGACACTACTCATCGTTCTTTAAATGAACAACCATAGAAATTTGATGTTTATCAATATATGAATAATCAATTTCAGCAAAGCAATTTTTGAAATCAAATAAATAATCATCAATCATATTATTCTCAATAGCTGATTTAATATCCTTCATGTTCTCAACAAGTTTAATGGACTTTGTAAATATTTTGGAATTTTTGTTGCTAACTGATAAAATGTGTATTGAATAATTTGTGAATAAAATTAAATCGTCATTGTTTAATAATTTACAATAACTAAATATGTGATCGTTTTTAAGGCCATACTCATCAATTGTTGATGATTCTTCTTCTATTCCATCATTAATTTTTTGTGCTTTTATATTGATATTTTTAAATTTATTGTCATATTCTATTGACCATTTAATTAACTTTCCAGTTTCCATGGTAAATTCTTCTTGTCCTTCATGATGCTCAGATGGTTCAGACATTTCTTGTAATGTTTGTGCTATATGTGAACAATAATTGTTCTTTAAATGTAATTTTTGTTGAATATTATCTAATATTTTTTTGTTAATTATTTCATTGATGTATAATTGATTGCCTATAACCATGGTTATTTTACCATGTGGTAAAATAGGTCCAAATAAAATATCTTTTCCATTTGCATTTTTTAAAAAATGCTTGTTAAAATACTCTGTGATATCAATAAAATCATCAAGATTATAAGGATCCATTACTTTATAATTATAACTTTTTGTGTTTTGATGATAATATATTACCAATAAATATTCTAATTGATCTGTTGAATAAATAAAACCATATTTTTTCATATCAATATTATTTTCCAATTGGGCTACAAAATAGAAAATGTATTTATTAAATTTATAAATTAATATAACATGCAAATAATATAAATATTTAAATAAATACTTGCTTGCAGAAATAATAATATTATTTTTTAATGAATATACAACTAATGTTGAATAATCCTCATAGTATAGTGCCATTATTGTTTTGTCTTTATTAAATTTAATATCAGCAATTGATTTTTGATATACTAAATAATAATTATCTTGATATGATATTGTTACACCCTTCCATTGCGATAGAAATAAATCCTGTGAGCCAACTAGAAAATTTCCAGAATTTACAAAAACTTTTATACCATTGTTATCTTCACTATTATAATAATACGTTGATTTATGAACCAATTTATCATTTGCATCATTGTCATTGTCACTCACATATGAAAAATTGTATAACTGGCAGGTATTATCATTACAATACTTAATAATTAACAAATCGTTATTTGTAATAAAATATCCATTGCTAAAACTTTCATTAATTATAAAATCACTGTATTTTTTTTTTGTAAAGTTAAGAAATTCTAAAAAGTTAATTTAAAATATTTTATATTTAGTCATTTTATATTTAATTATTATTATAATAATAAAATATATAAATCAATCAATCAATAATTGCTTACTATAATGACTATGGTATCCATCTCCATTACACAAAATTATATATTTGTAATCAGAAATATCTTTTATAAAAACATCCAAAGATTTATGCTCACTATGTGGTAAAATAGGTCCAAATAAAATATCTTTTCCATTTGCATTTTTTAAAAAATGCTTGTTAAAATACTCTGTGATATCAATAAAATCATCAAGATTATAAGGATCCATTACTTTATAATTATAACTTTTTGTGTTTTGATGATAATATATTACCAATAAATATTCTAATTGATCTGTTGAATAAATAAAACCATATTTTTTCATATCAATATTATTTTCCAATTGGGCTACAAAATAGAAAATGTATTTATTAAATTTATAAATTAATATAACATGCAAATAATATAAATATTTAAATAAATACTTGCTTGCAGAAATAATAATATTATTTTTTAATGAATATACAACTAATGTTGAATAATCCTCATAGTATAGTGCCATTATTGTTTTGTCTTTATTAAATTTAATATCAGCAATTGATTTTTGATATACTAAATAATAATTATCTTGATATGATATTGTTACACCCTTCCATTGCGATAGAAATAAATCCTGTGAGCCAACTAGAAAATTTCCAGAATTTACAAAAACTTTTATACCATTGTTATCTTCACTATTATAATAATACGTTGATTTATGAACCAATTTATCATTTGCATCATTGTCATTGTCACTCACATATGAAAAATTGTATAACTGGCAGGTATTATCATTACAATACTTAATAATTAACAAATCTGTGGTAAAATAGGTCCAAATAAAATATCTTTTCCATTTGCATTTTTTAAAAAATGCTTGTTAAAATACTCTGTGATATCAATAAAATCATCAAGATTATAAGGATCCATTACTTTATAATTATAACTTTTTGTGTTTTGATGATAATATATTACCAATAAATATTCTAATTGATCTGTTGAATAAATAAAACCATATTTTTTCATATCAATATTATTTTCCAATTGGGCTACAAAATAGAAAATGTATTTATTAAATTTATAAATTAATATAACATGCAAATAATATAAATATTTAAATAAATACTTGCTTGCAGAAATAATAATATTATTTTTTAATGAATATACAACTAATGTTGAATAATCCTCATAGTATAGTGCCATTATTGTTTTGTCTTTATTAAATTTAATATCAGCAATTGATTTTTGATATACTAAATAATAATTATCTTGATATGATATTGTTACACCCTTCCATTGCGATAGAAATAAATCCTGTGAGCCAACTAGAAAATTTCCAGAATTTACAAAAACTTTTATACCATTGTTATCTTCACTATTATAATAATACGTTGATTTATGAACCAATTTATCATTTGCATCATTGTCATTGTCACTCACATATGAAAAATTGTATAACTGGCAGGTATTATCATTACAATACTTAATAATTAACAAATCGTTATTTGTAATAAAATATCCATTGCTAAAACTTTCATTAATTATAAAATCACTGTATTTTTTTTTTGTAAAGTTAAGAAATTCTAAAAAGTTAATTTAAAATATTTTATATTTAGTCATTTTATATTTAATTATTATTATAATAATAAAATATATAAATCAATCAATCAATAATTGCTTACTATAATGACTATGGTATCCATCTCCATTACACAAAATTATATATTTGTAATCAGAAATATCTTTTATAAAAACATCCAAAGATTTATGCTCACTAAAATCATCTTTGGAATAATTAAAGCAATCATCTTGCTGGATAGTTCCTTTGTCAAGATCAACTGTCCATCCAACAATAGATGAATCTTTCCTACTATGAGTTACAAAAAACTTTAAATTAGAACTATATTTTATTTCATCAATATGACATCCATTATGTGGAATGAATTTATTTTGTTGTTTTATAATGATATTGGTGTTTTCAACAGAACTATCATTATCTTCTTCTATAATTAATATTTCCGAATCTTTTTGTTCAGATATTACTATATCTACATGATTTTCTATATGACTTGCTTTTGTGTGATCTATTTTTTTATTATCATCATCATTCGAGTTATTTATGGCATTGTTTTCTTCCATTTTTTAACAAAAAATTTTTTTTCTAAAATGTTATGAATCAAACAATCATATTATTTATATACAATATACTATTGTCGTTGTTGTTGTTGAAATAATTAAAGTTCATCATCATGATAACGATAACAACATATGTTCATTTAAAAATCAATGTTACGTATTTTTTGTATTTGATAAACAGATATGCATGCATTTTATTGATATTGAATTGGTTTTTTTTTTGTAAAGTTTGAAATTTTGGGGTGGGGTGCAGGGATGAAAATAGTACTTTAAAAATCCGGAAAATTTTTAGTATCAGTGGAATCAATTGAGGGTGAGTATTGTACACTTCGTGCATGAGTATTTGTATGAACATAAAAAAATTAGAATTGAGTACAGTAAGTACAATATGTCCAACCCAAAAAAGGAATGTAAGTATGATTATCATTATCAAAAATGGTTTGATTTTAGAACTTTTTACTTCAAATTAATATATCATCATCAGAATGAAAAATCATTCTTGTAAATGGAGCAAGTCTTGTTGATAAACAATGAGCACCATCTGCATCTTTCTCTCCTTATATCATTAATAAATAAACTTTAAATGATTGTTTGTTTGTAAATAAATAATATGTACATGCGTATATGAGCTTTGTTTTGTTTTTCAAAAAAAAAATAATACTTACACCATATCTAGTACCGAATTGTCCTTTGGGCTCAAGTAAAACTAATATTGTTTGAACCTACAAAATTATAGTAGAATAAAGACTAGCTTCACCATAGCGGTGTACAAAATATTACCACTAATTGCGGAAGTTATTAAATGTAAGTGTAAAAGAAAATGCATTAAAGTTTTAAAAAAAAAGATTAATCATTAATTTCTCTTTTGTCCAAATTCCTCATAATACAACCACGTAATACTTTACACTGGATAGACTTCAAACCAATAATCGTCGTCAAAGGTAAATTATTTTTATTTCTCAAGTATATTCAATGTATATATGTTCCACCATATATTTTAGTTTTTTATTTAAATATACAGACTTTACAAACAAAGGTTCTTGTAGTAAATATTAATTAAACTAAAAAATTTTTTACAAAAAAAGTTTCATTAATCAAAAATATCGGGGGGAATACCCTGTTACACGTGTATAAATTTTTAGTTATAATTTTATTTATTAAAACAATTTCTTATTTGAACTCATTTCATTTATTCTTATTCGAATTATTCATTTTATTAAAGTTATTTGTTTTATTCATTTTATTTGTTTTATTCGTTTTACAAAATATAAAATATTATTTAATTCGTAACAAATTCCATATCAGTGTTTTTGTTATTGTAAAATTATAAATAAGGTCTTATTTCCTTTAATATAAATTACAATGATTATATTTATAATCTATATTAATACTACTATAGTTACTAGTATTGTGACTTAAAAAAAGGGTCAATTACTTATGCTACCACTATTTATTATTATTATCACCATTTACAAAGGAAAAATAGATTGATAAAGAAAAAACATTTTAATTGAATTGGATTAGCAATGTGAATATATTATTTTAAACTTTCAATGTAATTCGAATACTCAAATTCATAATCAATAATAATAAAAAGAATAATAAACCTTATTTGAATAGAAACCCTACTTATTATTTAAGAAAATTTATTTTGGTCCCGATATTTTTTTGAAGATTACTAATAAAACTTTCCGATTCCCAAAAATTTTATCGGACATTCTAAAATTTTATCAGAAATGTCAAGAATTCGCGCCCTGTTTTGTATTACAAAGTGCGAAACTTGTGTCAGAATGTTTTGCTCTAAATCCCTTATTATTTGGTAGTTTTTGATGCAAGATACTGACATTCATTTCGCATATTGTTATATATTTCCAATAATGGGTCTGATTCATTTCGTCGACACTCATTTCGTCGACACTCGTTTCGTCGAAAGTTTGTTTCATCGAAAGTTCATTTCGTCGAAAATTATTTCGTCACAAAAAAAAAAACTTCATTAAACAAATTTCTCCTCACACTTCCCACACACCCCGCTTTCTTCACTTAATTTCTTAACTA